CTATGGGTCAATTTATCACTATAGTCAAGCATAGCATGACTAACATAGCCATAACTTAACATTTTTTGGGAGCTGGGTGGTTATAATTATGATGTATACAATACTAATAAAAATTGCGCAATTTAATTTTATAATAATTATGTATAATTAATTTTTTAATTCTTTTAAAAAAAATATTGACAGTTTCATATATATATACATATATATATAGGTATATTTTAGTGTTAACTTACTATGAATTTAACATCAAAGTCATCAAAGCAATTCCTGACAATCTAACATTTTCTTATTGATTCCTCAGAAACGATTTTAATCATGGTGAAAAACTGTAAACAGTGTAGATATACATTATACAAGCAATGCTTTAATTGAACCTGCAATTTCACTATGGGCTCTGACCTAGGGGGCCTCCCCCCTATATACTCCACTGTAGTATAGAGTAGGTATATAGACCATATTATCATGTGACTATAAAGTTTCTGTGACGTTAAATTTATACGACCATGTTATAGACCATAAGATATACAATAGTCGCGGGAAAACGTCGTAAACATAATATGGTAAGTAGTAAGTACACTGCAGCAGCGCTGCTAAGACAACTATTTACAATCATATATAACACGAGTAAGCACACGTGCGCGCACATACACATAATTTATGCACCGGATCGTGTACTTAACAGTATAAATATCACCCGGATGCAATATATACAGTGTTGTACCTATACTATCTATACGACTTGTGTCGCATCTGCTGCAGTTTTTGTGCATTGGGAATATCGTGCGCACGTGCTGCTGCAGTCTTAAAAATATATAAACACTATACCAGACAAAACAAAAAATTCCGTTTCGTCCTGCTGACAAACTTAAAATTTGTGCTGCGGGGACCTCGTGAAACATTGCAAGGTTTATAGCCTAATACGTATATAATATATCAGGCGCTGCGTTCAAGGTTGTGGGGGGAATAAGGGCCATGGCATCCCTAGACATCATAAACTACCTATAAATAATAATTTATTGTTGGTCTTGTGAGTTGTGCCATCACAATAGGCGGTCAATGGTAACACTGACTGACGTCTGGCCATGTTATTAATAATACAGTAGGTATAGGCCTAAGTGGGTAAATAGTTAAGAGTAGAATTTTTGGACCAAAAGGATATTTTCTTACACCTGGAGGATGAATTACGTCCACTATTGGTGTATGTACCTATAGTGGTTATAAAGGGTTTTAGATGCACACTTTCCTCAGACATTTTTCTAGGCGATTAGCTTCAATATTTTTGCCTAATATAATATGAAATAAATAAATAATGATTGATTTTAAAATTCCTAGGGGGTAGGAAAAGCTCTAACTTGCCGCTTCTTCGGGTGCCTTTTTTCGAGTATTTGTATAGCGTGCTTGGCGCAACTAGTTAGGGCTTAGCCCCGCTGACTCGGGGTCGCATTTATTGAGTTTGCAGTTCCACCTTACTTTCACAATAATTCTCTCTTAAATAATTATGTTTTAACGGCTTTCCTTTTTTTTTTTTGGAAAAATAAACAATTTATATACCCATCTAATAAATGTAAGTATTGGCAACATAATATATATAGGTATAATATTTCCCCGTAAAATAAAAAAAAAGTTACTAATTATAGTGTACGCTGTAAAAAAAAAATTAAACTTTATGCTGGGACTGTTGATTGGTGAATTTGTTAATTTCATCGCCGTCACAGTTAATGCTCTCATCGTCATTTCTACTTATATTATATCTTCATGAAACTTTCTTCCTTGGTAATATATCTTAAATATAATTGTATTCTTTTCAAACTATAGAGAAGGAACGCTTAGTGTTCATCTGATTGGCAACTTGTGTGTATGTATAGAGTATAGACGCTATCTTTGAGCTATACATGAGTATTCAATATATTATATAAGTATTTAAAAATATTATTTTCACTTTAAAAAAAAAAATTCTTGTATTGTCTATGGTATTTTTGGTATTATTAAAACATTTAATGACTTTAATTAATGAATTTAATGACATTGATTGCTTATCCGTGGTATTGAGGGAAAATATGCAGCAGACTCGTGTACGAGTAAATTTTAAAGTACGGATAATTTCAGTTGTAGAATATTTTAAGAACTTTTGTGCTTGGTATAAATATATAATTAATGATTAAAAAAAATTATCCATCAAGCCTGGTACCTAACGATGTGTACAGTGTATGCGTAATGCGTATATAGTATATGTTTGACAGTATAGGTACGTGACAATAAACATTATTTGTTGAAGAGTGTTCCTGGTCTCAAATTGTGTATTGAAATTAGTTAACTTTCATGAAATAGTATGGTATAGTTATTGATCAAAACTGTTGTTAGGTTCATCTAAAAATATAAAGAGATTGAAAATCAAGGGATTATAATAAATTTGAACCGTTATTTAATGTTTTCGTTGTTTGTTTACAACATACATGACACATTGTCCCTATACTTGTATTCTCAACACTCAACAGGTAGGCCGTCACAGGACATTACTTGTACATAGGTAGGTATATTAATATTTCGTATAAATGATTTATTTACACATAAATGTAAATTATATCAGCTTCATGTCAGTGGCTCATTATTTCGCAAATGTATTTGCATTTTGTAAACAATTTTATGTTTTTCACATAACAAAAATAATAATACCTAGTTATTTTATCCAAAGGTTTTATTATAATATCTAAAATTTTCGTAAGGCATCTCATCCACTTTTCATATGAATGACGAAATCCTATTGAGATTTATATCGCTATTTAGGAAATATACAAATTACGCTGTTACCTCCAGTGGCCTGAAAATTACAATTAAAATTTAATTCTAACATTTTAAATTTCATTCTGTGATTGGTTTTCACTTTTCGTTGATGTGATTGTGCACATGCATATGAATATAACGCATATTATACAATCCTTGAAACATTTCGTTAGTTCAGAAAATGATTTCATACTATATAATTGTATTGTTGTCAAGACTCAAGACTAAGAATTATTGTATAATTGATCGGTGTACACAAGTATTATTATAATATTATGTACCTTTTATAGTTTTATACACCTAAATAATAATTATATTATAATTTATAATATATATACATATATTATTTATTTATTAAAATATGGTCTGGTAGCCCAATGCGGTTACATTACAATAATACCATTCAAATATATGTAAGTACACATATTATCTAGTCATGTTTGTTTACTGCAATAATATACCTAAACCGAATATTTACAGTATACAAGTGCGACTTTTAGTGTAAGGATTAAGGGGTGTGCACAATTTTAACTACCCCTCGATGTTTTACGTTTATATTTCGTCGGCGCTCTCTCATACAATCATGCATACACTGCGGTTCTAGTGACCAGTTGTAGGGCCTCCCTCAACATTTGTCTCGAACACCTGTAGCAGCTGAGCATATCTCGAAACTCGCGCAAATCGAACGAATTCAATATTGTGCCTAACTGCACGGTGCGCGAATTTACACCATTTTAATTTATATTTTATTACTATAGCTCCAGTAACCTATGTGCGTCTCCTGCTGCAGGCCATAGGTATCTATTTAATAGTTTAGGTAGGCCATTTTTCGGGTATATAGTAATATAGTATAATATTTATTATATATACAACCAACGATGTGACCCCGTGCTCGCCCTCCGAAAAGTCGACGGCGGTGGCGTTCGGGTCCGTTAACCCTTTTTTTCACTTTACTCATACCTACCTGTTGCACATCGCACGCCGCTGACACGTGCGCGCCCGCACGCACACGCACGCGTATTTTTGTAATAATATTCTGCGGGTGTGAGTGTAAGTGCGCTCGCCGCCGCCGCCGCACGCTCGTAACCGCCCGTGACGGTGGGCGGCCGTAGCAGACCTTCACTCCCGGAAGCGAGCGAGCGCGCGGCGGCGGTGGCAACTACCACGACGACGACGACGACGACGACGATTCGGGTCAGTGTCGTGTTGTTTCTCCCGGATCCGCCGTGCGGCGGCAGTCCCCACGACACCGAGCTCATCCGGATCCGCCACCGCGCGCCGCCGCCGCATCAGTACACGGTCGGCCGTCGAGTAGCGCAGCAGTCTCTCGCGTCGCGCACCGTCACATAACAACATCCCGCCGCACGTCACAACGCCGATTTTTCCGATTCGCAACCATGACTTTTACCGGCGTACTTCGGGTAAGTCTTTTCAACCCCCGTGTACCCTGTGCAGGACTTCGTCTCCAGCACCTGCAGAACTCTGCTTCCGTTTTTCCGTGTCTTTAATATTGTTTATCTGTCCGCGAACCGGATACGCCGGTCGCGACCACCTGTTCGTCTGTTTATCGCCTTTTATTTTTTCGATCTCGTGTGGTTTTTTGCTTTTTTCGACGCACGTGCAGCTATATCATGGGATATTTTAAATAATAAACCGGCAAAGTCTCATTAACAAACATTAGCACATTATCGACATTTGTTAAACACCTGGCAGTTAGCAATACTTATAATATAATATATTATTACCAATGTAAAAACTCTAGTTTTTCAAAAAAAATATGTAGGTAAAAGTAATCGTTATTGATATATTATAAGCTTCCTCACATGTGTCTAAAAGATAATTTCTAACTATACACCCCCACAATATATACATTAAATGTTCTTCCCGTCCGAACGCATAAGTATTATTTATTATTATATAGAAGGCCATAGCGCCCAGAAGGGTAACATACTCTTTTGCGATTTCACTTTTTCGCTAGTTGATACACATCAAATCTTTACCCTGCCAAATACCATTATTGTCGAGTTACTATTATTATGTCCATTAGTTCTGCAATATACTATATACCGCAGTGTTGTGTTCGGTACAGATCGTGTTTTTAATCGAATACAACATTGACATAACAACAATAATATTATATAGGAATAGCCTTTTGATAAAAACTACCTTTAATATCGGTGAACTGTTGTATACTGACCGGATCGTTTTCGTTTCGACAGTGTTACGTGGACTCGTTGGACGAACTGCAGCTGCAGACATTGGACGAGTGCAGCAACGACGATTCGAGCTACGACTCGGACTTTGGAGGCGACGACGATGCCGTCGGCGGATCACACTTTGGCGGCCACCACGACGACGTCAGCCGTACCACGTCGGACACGCTCGGCGCCGAGTACGCGGAATACGTGAGCGCTGCCGCGTACAAGTCGAGGGTGGACTTTGCGCTCAAGCTCGGCTACACCGAACGCCTGGTGCAGACGGCAATCGGCAAGCTGGGCCCCGAACCCACGCAGGACCAACTGTTAGCCGTAAGCTTATATATATAGCCTATTTTATTATTATATTTCTTATGATCTCCGTCGTAAACTCATATTATATCTATTTTGTTATAAATGCGGGTGTGACGGAGAACGGTCGTCTCCATTGTCTCGCCGCACGTACAATGCGATGTTGGTAGGTATCTTATAGTTTCTATAGTGTAGTAATTCTCTCAACCCCCCCTGGCGCTGTCGCCACTCGCCAACAGACCATTTAGGGTTACAAACAAATAAAATAACCTTATGCGCATTGCACATTAGAAAAACATTTGTGGGTGTTGCGAAAAAGGAAGAATTTTTGGTTTGGGGATATTTTATTTTTTATAGTGCATCAGTTTTTTCATGAAGCCCCCCTGGCGCGGCCACTGGTTGATCATTTAGGCCCTACATTTAGGGCCACAAACACATACAAATATACAATAACCCTATGCGCATTTTATACGAAAAAATATTTGTTGGTATCGTGAAAAAATGAAGTATTGTTCTAGTTTTCGCCGTATTTAATATGTAATATTAGACTCAACGTGTGCAGTGTATACTAGACTGTAGGAGACTGCTGTATTTGAGAGGCTCTCTCAATATTATGTATCTTCTGCAGTTTTTCGTGTGTTTAATACATTAATGTTGTTATACTGCAGGAACTGATCAAGCTTGGCGCTCAATGTGGTCACAGGTTGCACTGCGACTCGGACGGCGAAGAGGCACAGTCGAATAACACCAACGACTCGCTGCTTAGTCCCCAAGCGCCCAAACTCCGGCACGTTGTCATCGACGGTAGCAACGTCGCTATGAGGTATGTCAGGTCATAATAATAATTCCCGTCGATCGTAGTCGTTCCTGCAATAATATAACTAACGTTTTCGTTTTATCTACCCTGCTTTTTCCAGCCATGGAAACAAAGAGACTTTCTCGTGTCGAGGCATTAAAATCTGCGTTGATTGGTTCCGGATGAGGGGCCACACGGACATCACAGTGTTTGTGCCAAAATGGCGGAAAGAAGCTTCGAGGCCCGACAACAGGAGGATCATTGGTATGTACCGAACTTCAGTTGAAGCTCCCCTGCAACCAATCATTAACTACCGGAATCAGTAGCGGATCCAGAAGTCACCCAAGGGGGGGGGGGCGAATTTTCAAAAATTAAATTGTCTTTTTGTTTAGCCAAATATTATAATAGAAAATAACGTTAAAAATGCAGCCCAATGGGGGGACGCCCCTTCGCCCCCCCCCCTCCTCGTATCCGCCACTGACCGGAATATCCCGTTGTACATAATTGGTTCAGGGACGATTAGGAAAGTTGGGTGGCTTGATGGTGAAATACTTAAATAACAAAAATAGATGGTGGTTATGTGGTGCTGTGTAGGTGAGGGTGGGTAGATATATGTATTAGTTGTGGGTTAAAATATGGCGATTAATGCTGTCTTTTGATATTTGGTGGATCAGACTATTACAGCGCCATCGAATTAGTTGCTGAATAGTATACGAATTTACCGCACCTATTGATAAAATATCCGTGAATAAATAATAACCTAGCGTATAGTGTTATTAATTTCTATTTTATCATATCCGAAAGCCGAACACATCACAAATTTTAACCAGCTATAGACACATAAAGTGTGACATCGGACTCCGGTCATTATGGTGGTCTTTCGTCAAGTACTGATTAAAGACTAATAATATGTAACTATTCCCATAATATTTTATCCTTGTGATATTTCGATTTAAAAAGGGGAAGCCTCATCATTTCGTTTGACATTTTTGAAGGAGAAACGGTTATGTCTGAAAAAAGTAACCATATTTTATTTTTCGTAATGGGACGATTCGGAATCCTGCAAGGCGTCCAATATATTAGTTGTTTAGGGCCCATATAAAATGCACATATATGATATATATCACGGTATAATATAATTTAATATATTTTAAAAAGATTTTTTTTTGTCTATATAGACCAAGATATCCTGACGGAATTGGAGCGCGCTAGGATGCTGGTTTTCACCCCTTCCAGAGAAATCGGCGGCAAGCGCATGGTGTGCTACGACGATCGGTACATTCTGCGTTTGGCCTCGGAGCTAGACGGCGTCGTTGTGTCGAACGACAACTACCGAGATCTGGCCAACGAGAGTCCAGCGTTCCGTTCGGTCGTGCAAAACAACATACTAATGTACTCCTTCGTCAACGACAGGTATGCGTAATAAATAACAACGGCGGCTCGTCTCTTGACGATCGAAGTCTTTTCGACAAACATAATAAACTATAACGGTCATCGTTTGCTGTCAGCGCAGGTTCATGCCGCCGGACGATCCACTGGGCCGTTCGGGTCCTACCCTGGACGTGTTCCTCCGGAGCAAAGCGCCGGGCGTCGGTCTGACCGCCGTCAGCACGGAGACGTGTCCGTACGGCAAAAAGTGCACGTACGGCAACAAATGCAAGTTCAGTCACCCCGAGCGTGGTCTGCAGCCCGTCAAGTCCGTCACCGAGCGACTGATGGAACACGCGCAGCGGCAGGGCTCGGCCGGTCGACAGATCAAGGGCAAGTCCGTTAGCCTGCCGCTGCAGCAGTCTGGCTGCAACAACCAGCAGAAGAAGCCGCTGGCCCGGACCATGTCCAACGTCCCGCCAACGACCACCCACCACAATCACTCCAACCACCCGCACTGGGTGGGCGGTGGAGCGTGGACGGCGGCGTCGCCGAGCTCCAACAACTACAGGGGCAAGCCCGCCGAGTCGTCCGAGTCCGAGGAATGCAGCAACTTGCACCACAAGCTGCAGCGGCAGCTCACGCTGAACCCGACCTACGACCCAAGATTGGTTCATCTGCGGCAGAGCCAGCACTGCAACGTGACGAGGATAGCATCCGCGCCGCCCGTGCCCATGATGCGGCCGCAGCCATCAATGAACTTGCAGCCACACACGCTGGTCGCCGCCAGCTGTTCCGATCCACAGATATTTCCCGGTTACCACGAAGCCAGGCAAAAGTTGTACTACCATTTGTCGTCAATATTCCCTGAGGAACAGGTGTCGGCAGCCATGCAGTACTACCCGAACGAGACTAACCCACAGAAGATTTGTGCAGCCATACTGAACATGTTCTCGAAGACGTGATGTGTATGTGCACAGCGCTGGGTAGCATGTCCAACACGCGACCTTGTCCGTTCATAAGTGATTTTGTCTAACAATATAATATTATATTAGCGTATCGACAAGACGACGACACTCGATACAATGTATCTGATTATTTGTGTTGATTTATTTTTAAATCATGTATGATATTTGTGTAGACTATTATGTTAATTTTGTATATGTTAATTTTAAGTTGATATTTTTTTATGTTTTTGTTAACCTGTGTCACACGTACGACAAATTGCGGTATTAATAATAATAAGATTTTAATTTTTATAATTTTTCATTTTATACCTGCTATTTTGATTCACACAATTTATCTAACATTAGAAAGAAATGTACTGTGGTTTTCGTATAATGGTTACCTACCGGCTACCATATTTTTAACGGTTTAGACACTTTATGCTAAGGATCTTTCCACATGACCCTAAAGTAAAATGTTTGTATCTCATAATCTGATAGTCTGATGTATGTGGGAAGAGATTAGTAGTAGACCGACAGGTTTTCTCAATTCCATTATCTCGACTACCAAACCAATGTCATGACTACCACCAGACAAAATATTGAAGGAAATCCATTCGATAAATATAGTATAAATATTTTCAAAAATTAGTCTCCAAAAAAAGAATGAAATATAAAATTTTTTATGTTTTATACTAAAATTCCACTGCTGAGATAATTTTTGAAATAGTTTGTAGATGATTAAATGATTATTTTACCACAATGGGTTGCATGAAAAATTTAATTAATTTAATGAATTAATCATTAAATCATGTTCAAGGGATCATGAGCTTATTTACACATTAATACAAGTTAGTGTACTTAAGATAGAACTTACCTCCTACAGATAGGACTTAACTGTATTTTCTACATAATTGAGTCTGAAATCATAATAATTAATAACTTCAGGTTCATGTTCTGTTGCTTCAGAGTTCAGATGCATGGTGTTCATACTAATAAATGTGTCAAATAGTATAAGTATTAATAAATATTTAAAATTAGAAATGAACTATATCAATGGGAACCTCAGGTATTATACAAGGATTCATTTCAATCTAAAAATTATATATTATTATAATTTATAAAATAAAATAAAATTATAATAGGTATAGATTAAGATAATTATCAAATATTTCAATAATAGTATTGATTCGAAATTAAGAAGTACAAAAATAATCTGGGTTGTTGGCTTGTACCGTGCACAACATTTTTGGTATTTGCAACTTGTAGGTCACAGGCCAAAGCCAACAACCCAGATTATTTTTGTACTTCTTAATTTCGAATCAATACTATTATTGAAATATTTGATAATTATCTTAATCTATACCTATTATAATTTTATTTTATTTTATAAATTATAATAATATATAATTTTTAGATTGAAATGAATCCTTGTATAATACCTGAGGTTCCCATTGATATAGTTCATTTCTAATTTTAAATATTTATTAATATTTATACTATTTGACACATTTATTAGTATGAACACCATGCATCTGAACTCTGAGGCAACAGAACATGAACCTGAAGTTATTAATTATTATGATTTCAGACTCAATTATGTAGAAAATACAGTTAAGTCCTATCTGTATAGAATATTGGAATGATTTATTTGAACCTCTCCTTTGTTTAAATTTTGATATTGGTGGTGATCTAACCCAAGCAGTATTATGGAGACTCCAAAGTGGCATTCTTGATAATATTGAACCTTCTAATATTGTAAGTTATTAGAATATTTGAAATCTTAATATATATATGTATTTGTATAGGTAGGTATTATATTAGATACTTTTTAATCTATTTTACTATGCAGTGGCATAGACATGATTTCTGAAAGGGGGGGATCAAAACAACATGGCTAAATGGGATGGGAAAATTGTAAAATACCCTACCCCACCCTCTCAAAACTTTTTAATAAGGTAATAAAAAGCCAATGAGGGAGGGACCTGACTCTCATGCCCCCCCCTTGAATATTCCCTTGGTACTATGCTATTTTATTAAAATAGTTTGAGCTATAGTTGGTAAATAATACATTTAGAGAGGTGTACCATCACAGTCCTCGGTGCCGGGTGCTGTGTACCTCAATATATTCATCAAATTAAAATTTTAGGTAAAATTTTATCAGCATCCTATCTTGGTATCATCCTAATACAAAAAAACGAAGTTTTTCATGCCTAATACATAAATCTATAATTAATAATATTATAATGATTGCTATATACCTATGCTCTTATATATGCAGTAACATTTGGGTCCTATGATTATGTATAATAAACAATAATTAAATTATTATTGTTTTACCCTACATAAAGGCCTAGACGGTTCCACCTATGTTTGAACCCCCAACCAAATCTACTTATTAAAAACATAGCTACATTAGCCATGTCTGGAAACTCTTGTCGTCGCCTAAAGCGCAAATTGTTTGGAGACCTAATAGGTAACAACAAAAAATCCTTTATCCGAAAACAAAAATGAAAATAAATAAATAAAAGACAATTAGTGTCATCAATATTTTTATATAGCTCATACTCTTATTGTAATTCCTGTCGGTACAGATTGTGTATAAATAGTAAAATAATGATAAAAAATAATTTAAATTTATGCGGGAAATTTTGTTATATTATCATATTATATCTTTATCACTTATCAGGGTCTAATACACGATAAATATATTTTATCTATTCTGTGATATTGCGTCCAATCGTCCAAATGTCCAATCACACCGGGTGGCAGGACTTGAAAATATTTAGTTTCACGTTGACGTTGTACGTGAAAATATTTAGTATTGTAGTTTCGTGTAGGAGTGCTGCACGTGAAAAATTCAAAATATCCACTGCAAGTTTATAACGATCTTTAAAATTTCACTATGGATTCAGAGCAGTTGTTAAGACTCGTGGATAGTAAAGGGTCCATCAGCACATGGGACATAAGCAAAGAACACAATATTGATCATCAAAAAATTATTGGTGTTGTTAATAGCATATTGGCATTGGGAAATATTATTACTGCCGATCCAGTGACAAGTAAGTACTGGGAACTTACCGAAGAAGGAGAATCAGTTGCATTGAATGGTAGTTATGAGGTAAATCTATATAACGGTGTTCCATCTGATGGGATACCTCAAAAGGAATTAATGAAAATACCAAATGCAAAAATTGGATTCAGCCAAGCAATGTCAAAGGGTTGGATAGTAATTGATCGAGCAGCAAACAAAGTGATGAAAAAAGTCGATTCAGTTGTTGATAAGGTTAAAGAAGATTTGATAGAATTGAAAGCATCTCATGATCAAATTTCTGAGTCGGAAAAAATGGATTATAAAAAACGAAAACTTATTCGTGAAGTAGTCATAAAAAGTTTTACATTAGGTAGTTTATTTTTAATTTATTACTCTTTATCATATTAATTAATTGTACCTATTAATTTTTCCAGGTAAGGGTCCAGAATTTACAACGTCTATTGTAAAATTAGAAACTGAACTAACTACAGAAATGATAGCATCTGGTTCATGGAAATCAACTCCATTTAAGCCTTACAATTTTGAAGCTTTAGGCCAACCACAATTGGCTGGTTGCTTACATCCATTATTGAAAGTTCGCTCAGACTTTCGTCAAATATTTCTTGAAATGGGTTTTACTGAAATGCCAACTAATAATTTTGTTGAAAGCTCGTTTTGGAATTTTGATGCATTATTCCAACCTCAACAACATCCAGCAAGAGACTCGCATGATACTTTTTTTTTGGAGAACCCTCAAACTAGTGAAAACTTTCCTCAAGAATATTTAAACAAGGTAAAAACAGTACATTCTAAGGGTGGCTATGGTTCCCAAGGATATGGCTATGATTGGTCCTTGGATGAAGCTAAGAAAAACGTCTTGAGAACTCATACTACAGCTGTAAGTGCTCGTATGTTGTATGGCTTAGCTAAAGATTTTAAACCGACTAAGTACTTTAGTATCGACCGAGTATTCCGAAATGAGACTTTGGATGCTACTCATTTGGCAGAGTTTCAACAAGTAGAAGGAGTAATAGCTGATTACAATTTAACATTGGGAGATTTGATTGGAGTTCTTCACACGTTTTTTGAACGATTAGGAATGACTGAAATAAAATTTAAACCTGCTTACAATCCATACACAGAACCTAGTATGGAAATATTTTGTTATCATCAAGGACTAAAAAAATGGATCGAAATTGGCAACTCTGGAATGTTTCGTCCTGAAATGCTATTACCAATGGGCTTACCAGAAAAAGTAAATGTTATAGCTTGGGGTTTATCGTTAGAGAGGCCAACTATGATTAAATATGGCATCAACAATATTAGAGATCTAGTCGGACCTAGAGTTAATTTACAAATGGTACAAGATAACCCAATATGTAGATTAGACAAATAAATTATATTGTTAACTTTTATGATGCTATAATATATATGGTGTAAATTTATTTGTTTTTATATTACTTTTAATATCACTACTGTAACAAATAATTCTTAAAGGTCTCCAAATCTTCCAATACTCTGTCAATGTCTCTCTAGCAGCATTTTTTTTTCTTCGTCGACCATAGCAGAAATTCGTTCTTTTAACTTTCTTACCTTGTCAAGTCTTGATAAAACAGAAAATCTACTAACGTCTCAGGTTAGGTAGCCGGTAGGTTAAATTAATATTATTTGCATACTATCATATTTGTATAATATAACAATGTACCTTAGGAGTTTCAAGTACCCATGAATAATATTTTTAAATTACAAGAAAATAATTTTATTCTTGGTTATTTAAAATGTAATTTCGTCCAAATTTAACTTATGATTTAAGCTATGAAAAAAAAAAACTATGCTTATACATTTTTTAGATTGGAAACAGAAAAACCTACTTACGTGGAACCTTGTTTTAGATGTTCCTTAGCTATAAAAATTGAACATTTTATACATTTTTAATTTCATAAACTTTATTAAGATTTGAACTCTAAATACTCATTAAAAACAAAATTGTGCTTATGTATTTTTAATATTTGTTTTTGCAATCATATATCATGAGCGTTGTATTAAATATTCAAGCTTTTTGACCTAATGAATAGTTTTATCAATATTTATAGAAAAAACATTTAAATTTAAAAACTGTATATAGGAACTGGTTAAATAAACATATGGTGTAAATTTCAATTACCTACAGTTATTCGTTTTTGAATTACAAAATAATAAGAAAATTTAATTTGACTTTCTAGTAACCTTTTTTTAAATTAAGGTAGACAAAATTATGAGGAATCATGTATTAAGTTTTCAAATCGTAAATATAAAAGAAACATTTTTATGAATTTTTAACTCAAAATAATTTACAAATTTTTGTGCTTTTTACAAATCTTGACAAAGTTCTAATTTCAGACGTTTTTAAAATATTTTTGTGGGTTAAAACTCTATTTTTTTTTTTTTAATTTCCACAAAGAACAACTTACAAAAACCTTGTATTACATTTTAAAGTTTTTCACCGAGCAAAAATGTTTTTATAGTTTAAAAAAAAATAACAATAACCGAACATTTAATATGCCTATAAATAGTTCAACACGAGTTACACTAAAAACAAAAATTGATATTGTCAAAACCAGTTTTGCCTAAAACTCTCTGTTTTCCTGAAAACTACTGGGAAATTTTTACTTTTGATTCCCCGAGTACCAATTTGATTCACTTTTCTATCAGAAAAAATGCTATTGAAGAAAATAAGTTATTATAATAAATAAGTATTTATAATTAACGACAATGGTTATTATACTTAGATAAATGGCAATTTGTGTGTATTGTGTAATAACTAAAACTTTAAAGTCTTGCAGGGAGTTGTGGCATTGGGATATATTAGTCAATATAACGAAATCGAGACTCACGGCTTTGAGCAGTAGTCGGGATAAAGGAAAAGTACCCATTATTTAATTAGTTAAAAAGTTATGCTTAATAGTTTCAGTATTATGAACAGCTTACTTTAGAAAATTAGATATACAGTGGTCTTGCAATTTTCATTCACTTTAGCTTTAACAAGTGTGAAAAATAGACACTACCAATACTGTGTTGACCAAAAAAGCACCCCTCTAATTCCATAACAAACTATCAATTGACAAGTCTGAAAAATAATGCATTCAGGTTTTTTGCAGCAATATTTTTCCTTTGCAATGATAAAGAGTTTATTAAAAAACAACTAGTATAATATATTTTCAAAATTGTTATTTCCTTAATATTATTTATATTAATTCTGCTTATTTAACATGAACTTTCTTGTGGCTTGATGACCATCAGGCCTATGTAATTGGTAAAGGAGTCGTTCTTGAATTTTTTTAACTGCCGCTACAGTCAAAACGAGAGTTTCATATTTTAGCATGCTGTACACGTTCAAACCTATAATAATTATTTAAGTATGCAGATTTGAGGAAACCAAATTATACATTTTATTTTAAATGCTTACCATAAACTGGCATCAGATTCATGTGTTTGATTTGATTCAATGCTAAGCTGATGTTCCTTGGCATTGTATCAGTACTATAAAAATGTAAATTAAAATGAATAATTTGTACCTCTTTTTCTAACTTTTTGAATCTAAATAATAATTATCAATCAATAATCATAGTTACTCGTCAATAAATAGAACTGAAGGTCCCCATAGTCTTGAATCAACTAAATCATTGATGTATCCAGGATCGTCTGTAGGTATATCCAAATTGTTGACTACGTGTAAATCGTCCTAAATAAAAATGCCAGGCTGTGTCATATGCACATTAATTTAACAATATAAAATATACATACCTGAATTAGCTTGACAGATAACGTTGATGTGAGACCGTACACTCTTTTGTAAAATGGAAGCATATAAAAATGCGTTGTATGAGAGCGTGGTCCGTGAATAACAGATCCACCTCTAAATAGTGGAGAACGTCTAGTACCATGTCGGGCACGTCCTTGACCCTTTTGTGGCCATGGTTTTTTACTGCTCATGTTTACCTCGGCTGTAACTTTGGTATTAGCATAACTCTGTAGGAATAATAAAAAGGTTATTAGACTCGTGTAGTGGAAAATAATTGAGGAGGAAAAGAAAAGAGACTTACAACATATTTATATTTTTTTTGCCACACAACATTTTCATGTATTATATCAATTCTTGGTCTCGATCCAAACACTTGGGGATGCAAATCTATGATTGTAGAAGGATTTTCCTTTATAGTATCCAAATTAGACACCCATGCCTGACGTAATTCCGTGTATCCGCCATATACCATTGGCGGCTCTTCAATTTCATCTAAGGATTTATAATTGTTAAAAATTGTTTAAACACTGACAAGCGATTAACACTATTGCAGACTTACTGAACTCCGAGTTTTCAACTGCTACGGTAGACAACCGACATGCCGCTGTAAATGTCGACGGGAGAGCTCGAATTTGTTTTGCCAAACAATTTAACAACATTTTATGAACTGTAACAAACAGAACGTTGTCTTAAATAATATTAAAATGTAAAATGATAAATATACATTAAATGATTACCTAATTTTAATTTTTAAGTATTTGTTAGAATAGTAGAGAACGCCTAAATAGTAAAAAATTACTTATTATGGAATATTGATGTTATCACTGTTATCACTTGTATTTTTTCCCAAAAGTAAATATTGTTATCTTTTCTATAACCATGGTAGATATTATAATCATTAGTGCCGCAATTGGTTTTTAAATGGCATGTGCGTTTTCCGAGGGACAATTTAATTTGAAAACATCACTCGGTTATAATAATATTATTATAATGTTTTGACTTTTGGTTTACATTTAACTTAAGGTAAAAGTAAACTTAAAGGCTGTAAGTGTAAATAGTGTAAAAACCACGAACTAAGATATACAGGACTGAACACTATTGGGCGGAGGGGGCGGGTTATGCGGTCAGAAAATCTTGCTCGTCGGTGCATTTGTGAATAAAGCGCCATCTATTAACATCAGTAGTAACTACAAAGTTCTACATTTATTTTAAGAATAAAATACAATTATGACATAGATTTTAGAGTAAATTTTACTAGTCATCTTACTACATCTTAGTTAATGTATCTAAGCTGCTTAGTATATTATTTAGTAAAATATTTTAAAATTATAATATATTTATTTACAATGGGTCGATTATGTAGCGTGGAAAATACGTAATTGGAAAATAATATTTTAACAAAATTAAATGATATACATTTTATTGAGAAAAGCGGTTCATAATTATAAAGTCCACTTATTCCACTAACAAAATCGGCGGTGCAGAAAGTGCAAACGAGTGTTGCACTGCAATCAAATCGAATACAAAACACTCCGCCAGTTCACAAAATATTGGTCAAATCGAATACGTTTATGCACTCAGTGCAAAAAGTGCGTCAAATCGAAAACGCTATTAGTAAACCGACAGAGTGCGCCACATACACCAAGGTACACTTCAGCAAGAGTACCCGACCGCAATATCTAGAGTCGTTACCAGTCCTGTATATCTTAGTTCGTGGTAAAAACTGTATGTTATCGATTCTCCATGGTCTGTGGTTCATGGTTTTTTTAAAGAACAGATAGGGCCACCCATAGACCTTATATACGTTTAAGGTCTATGGGGGCCACCAAGCTTTCGATTCGTAATAATTGTTTATTTGAAAAAAAAAACGTGTGCCCTGCCTTATTGCCACCTATATTGGTTGAATTAGGGTTAAAACCTTCTCCGAAACATAATCTATCATTTAAAAAACCGCATGACTATCGGACGAGGACTTATAGTGAACATGCGTGACAAAGATATCCATTTTAACAAGTAGGTATATACTAATATTATAATAATAAATAGTAATACATATTATTATATATATTATAAACATTAGTACATCACCGGTTTAAAATTTACGTCTAATCAAATGTTATAATCAAGGTGGTATGAAAATCAACACTAAAATAAAAGTTGTTTACATTATTATACGTTGCTATTCGTAATATACTTTTATATGATATTTATTTATATACCCTTTGAACTATAATAATAATTTTATTTTCAAAAAAAAATATTGGTTTTGGGTTAAAAACTATCATATCTTTTTATTATTAACTCTCCTATCTTATCTTAAGTTGAACCAAATCACACTTATTCAGCATTATCTTATCAAAATCGGTTTAGTAGTTTTAGAGTGCATTGCACTCAAACTTGTCGTACGCGTGACTAAGCATATGCCAACATGGGGGAGGGGGTCTTGGTAAGCTTAGCTCGCCCAGTTTTTGTTCGTAATGTTATTGCCGAATCTGATTTATAAATAGTTTTTCTAAAAAAATACTCTTCTATTAAACTATTTTTGAACGAACTATTTTTCTGTTAAAGTTAAGTCTAATAAAAGTTTTTTCAGAAAATCTATATAAGCTTAATTAATATTTTCGAAAATTTTATTTTTTAGCAAAAAATGTTTAAGCTCAAGTGTTTTTTGGCAATTTTATTTTCTAGTGAACAATATATTTTATTCTAAAATTTGTTTCAGCAATTATATTTTCCAATTAATTACAGTTTATACAAAATATTTCTCCGGTTGTATATTTTGATTTTAATATATTTTCGAATGTACCCAATACTTTTCTAATAATTTACGTTTAACGTTTAATAGTATCTCATTTAAAAATGTTTCATCACAATAACTGTATTACTTTATATTTTCTAAACAAACATTTTTCTTTTGAAAAACGTTGTACCTTCTTTACTTATATTTTCTAACTTTGTATAGCTCCCCGTTTTAAATTTTTAAGACGATGACAACACATGCGGTTGTAAAGTCCTCTTAATTCGTAAGCGTTCGTCCGTTCGATTTTGTGTTTTTGTATAATTGTATTATAGATAGGTATGCCATATACGAATACAATAAGCAAAATTATTCATATCTATACTAATATTATAAAGCTGAAGAGTTTGTTTGTTTGAACGCGCTTAACTCAGAAACTATACTGGTTCGAATTGAAAAATAATTTTTTTGTTGGATACTCCATTCATCGAGGTAGTGCTCAAACAGGGATTTTGAGATTTAAGATGGAAATATTTGTTTATAAATGGATGCTATTGGTCATAGGAGAAATAATTAATAGAAATAGTATTTATTTATTATTGGTTGCTATTGGTTAATTGGATAGATCAGGTACAAGCATGCATCTAATCGAATTTTCTCACATTGCCTACCAGGTTGGCTGAGTTGCACTTACTGCAGTGAGTTACACCAAAAAGGAGTTGAACAATCACAATTTTTTTGTAATTTTTTACAGGCCACGAAGTGCGCATGATCAGCTATATTATATATAAATTAATGTTTGCAGTGTGCAGATCTCTGGGAAGAAGATAGGCTAATTTAAAAAGAGTTAAATTTGGTTTTTTTATTCATCGGATTCGGTTAGGTTAGGTTAGGATTATGTATTAATTGATTATATTTATCCACCGTATTATATCAAAATAAATTTGGTATAACTTTGATACTTTAGAGTTACCTAAATCATGCACTTAGGTACAAACAGCACTGGGTGTCTGGGTCCAAACTGGGTGGAAGAAAGTTTGATTCATATAGAGTTGGTACATTTAACGTACAACAAAGTGCACAGGATCAGCTAGTCTTAACATATAAACTAAAGAAAAACAAACGGTTGCAGCCGTTGCAGGCCGTTTGAATCATTTTGTATCGTAATTTGGTGCAGATTTTTTTTCAATCAAGTGTTGATCTGTAAATATTTTTTACATTATGCAATAAATTAAAAATGTTAGTTCATATAAATCCATAATTTTAAATTTTTTTAGTGCATATTTTCCAATGTGCATAAATGCATGCTAATGTATGCATTTTTTAGTTCATGATCTTACGGGCCCTGGATCTATGTAGTTACACCGTAAAACGATAATTAAGATAAAATTACACTACACCATAGGCGCAATCTGGGGGGAGCTTGGGGGGGGGGCTAAGCCATCTTATTTTAGTTTAAAATATTAATTATTAGGGTTTGTGCTGCTGACACAATTTTAGCCTCCCCAGAAAAATGTCTCTAATTGCGCCTATGTGATTAAGTGGTTAATATATGTATATATAAGAAGATATATGGCATATCTTATGCGTTTTTATCCTCTATAACTTCTATATTAATTGCATAAGATAGCTCTAGAATCAAAATTAAATTTCTGTATAAATTAATTCACTGACAAATAAAGATTAGTATAAAAAGCACATCGCACTTCATTTGGACTACCTACCCGGCTACAGTACTACACTCAATACTACAGTAAGCTGGAAGAGGGTATCGATCCTACGGCTGTCAGATTTATTGGATAAACAGATGTCCGGGTAACTGTAACAGCGGTAGGATCTAGGTACTCTAACGATCTCAACTCGTAAAGCCTTTGTATGAAAGGATTTTAAATAGATAATAACGATTTAGAAATAATTATTGTGTTTATTTCACATGAAAAATGTATAAGTGCTTATATAAAATAAAAATGACTACCTATAGATTAATGAGTGACCATGAGCGAGGTATGACTTGGTAAGTATGACCGCGGTCGCTTCTTTAGTGCATCTGTCCGTCTGATGAGCTATTGTCACAGCGACTATTGAGGGGAGTTCCTGTCCCCGCTACATTTGACCATATATCATAGGGTCATGGCCCGTGGCTCCACGTGCTATGAATTAAGCCGGAAGGCCATTACCATGTATAAATATTATGTTGTACTATCAGCTTAATGAAAAATACACAATTCCTATTTCCTGCGTGACCTACTTTATCTATTATTCATATAATCATAATATGAGTGTTACTATATATTATATTGCGCGGTGGCGTATTATTATTATTATTATCGTTCTAAAATATATTATAATGCGTGGCCGCGTACTATTATTATCGTAGGTAGGCTAATATAAATATTTACAATATCACAGCTCGGAGCTCGCTACAGTATGCATACGTAATATTATTTATAGATTACCAGAGTCGGGAAAATTAAGGCAAACAATTAAATCAAGTTAAATTATGTGAATACAAGATCGTTAAATGCGAAGTTAAAAGTTAACAGAATATAATACATCGAACACACCAATATTAACTTAACAACACTTAACTCGGTTTAAAATACTTTTTTAATTAGTCCGGGGATATCACAATATCACATAAAGAGTATTTTGTGCACTTATATAGGTATTATATATATTACCTATATATACACAAAATATTATTTTATCAATAAACTTAATAGGCATTTATTGTATTATTATATACTATTAGATTATTATTATTATTTAAAACTATGTATACAATAATAATTAATAATATTTAAAATCATTAAAACAAATAATTCCAAAAACATTTTAAATTTTACTTTGATATTATTTTTAAATCAACTCATAAAAAGCTTAGTTATTTCAACAGTCAATTCAAGTATTCAACTACCTAGT